CTATTTAAAATGTAGAGATTCAAAAATTCCTTATAATTCCTATTAATCATTAAATTTATTTTAAGGAATATTTATTATCATATAATAATGCGTAATTAATATTGTTTATTTAATAATGCTTTAAATGAAAGCAAAAAAATGTAAAATGTTGTCAGAAGTATTGTTCGCAAAAATATTCAATTACAAATGAAAAAGAAATAAGAGAAGAATAAAGTGAAAAATATATTAATTAATTAATTAAATAAAGAGAAGAAAAATATTATCTGATATCGATATTCGTCTTTATTATAACCAATTAAAATTAATTATTTAATGAACAATGTGAAAGAAGGAATGTTGTTTGGTAGCAACAACTAAAAATGGTATTTAAGTGACACTTGAATTTAAACAATTAAATTATAAAGAAGTACTACATTGTTGTATAAAAAGTAATTTTGAATAATTAATTGTGAAAGCAAAAGGAATACAGTTTAGATTAAGAATTGCTATTTTTAATTTAATTATTAAAAATAAGTCACAAGTATTTATTCCTAATAATTAATTTTTGTATTATTTCAATTATAATTTTGATTTATCCTTCAATAAAATTCCCAAATGGCTTTATAATTCTTTTGTTAATTTATAAATACTCCTACTGATTAAATTCCATTATTCTATATTTTAAAAATCAAATAATAATTCATTAAATATTTTAAATATTCATGCAAAAATCTCTTAATTCATCCCAGCTATTGCAGCACTAGATCCAAGCCAAAAAGGAGTGATCGTTTGAATGTCCTTTTAATAATTTATAACATCACACAACGCCAGAAACTAGTGTTTTAAAAAGTTATCATAATTAAAATGTTTCTGTAGGATTAAAAATATTAACTTTAGAATAATAATAACCGAAATATAAATAATGTTATAACAACTCGCTAAAATATTCATATGAGTTGGAACAGCTAGAGTTTGAGTTGGTATATATTAATAATAATGATCGGTAGTTATTTCAGACAAATGCAACAATGCAATACGGTTTCAACAGCAGTTTAACTGTCTTTTTTTTTTCTATCTCAACTATTGTGTCAAGCATTCCATTCTCATATGTAAGTATTCCGCAAACGAGCTAACAGCTTTGTTGTAGTTTGGTACAGGAAGAAACTCGAAATTTCCAGCAGAATGCGTAGGCAACTCCACATATGTTTGTTCCCTTTTCAATACTACGATCATTAACTGTCCGTATATTTGCATTCATATGGGCCGCATATTATTGGTAAAATCATCTTCGTAGAATGACGATCATTGTTTCAGAACAAAGCGTTCGTAAATTTCTAGTTCGTTGCGTTTAAATAATCCTATTTTAAAAGCCTTTTATTAATGATTGCTGGAAAATCCTTGAAACTTAAAACTTGAAAAATGTAATAAATACGACAGACTGGAACAGAATGGGATACTTTCCGAGTGAAACTAAATAGGTCCAAAAGAGGCTTAAAACACACCCAAATGAAAAAAAGCCCGATACAAATCGGATTAAAGCCCAATTTTAATTTAAAAATATTTTCTGTGGCCAAAACACACCTGAATTCAGAAGAGGCCCAAGTTAAGCCTAAAAATATTATTAGGCCCAATTTAGGATCATTTTCTAAAATCATATTTGATAATGATGACAAAAAATTATTACAACTGTAAATTTGTAGCATCAAAGTTAATTCAACGATAAGTTTTTATTTTTGTAGGCCTGGAACATATTTTTAGGCTTAAATTAGGCATTTAGTGGGCCTAAAAAATAATTTCAACTCAAATTGGGTCCGTTGTGGGCCGAGAAAATATTTTTGGGCGCGTCCAAAAACTGATAATTAAAAAACAAAAATTGTGTAAAGAAAATAAAACTGTTTATCAAATACATTTAAATCAAAAAATAATATTTGTTTTTAAACTTTATACAATCAACTCTTTTTTTTAAATTTAATTCCAAAAAATTCCAATTTAATTGCTTTATTATTTGGTAATTAGTATCAATAATGAGTAACCCAAAATTCATCATCTTTAATGATCAAACGTTAATTTAGAGACATTACAAGCTCTATAAGGCTCTGGGAAATCCCAATCTTTCAGAAATAACAGCATTAACTGCTCATCTCATATCATTCTCTATCCCATTTTAAACGATCTGTTTTTCGTTCTTAATCGCAGATCATTTTGACTAGAAAAAAATCTCACCTCCTATCTCGAACCTCGTTTTGCCTCAATCTCCCTTCTATACATATTTTATAAATTTACTTTCGTTTTACGACCAACGGAGATTGAAATTATAAATGAGGAATTTTCAGAAAATGTCCGATATCTCTATTAATAATTAAACCAGCGATGCAATTGAAAGGAGTAGCTTGATGGAGGAAACACGAAACCCTTCTTGTCTATTTACTCAAGTAGTCGACTGGAGAAACTGAAGCGCTTCTCAGTATTTTTTCATCTTTGCCTTCTCCCTATTGTTTTTTTCTGTCTTATCATTATTATTATTATTAGCATCATTACTACGATCACGGTTATTATCCATGTATATATATATATATATATATATATATATTTGTGTAAAATTAATCCTTATATCAGCATCAAAGTTTTTTCTTTAAATTTTTGATGGACATTTCATAAACATGATAAGGAAAAAGATGTAATAATATTTTTCATGAAATGACACCTGTCAGATATTAAATTGAATATCTTGTCATTTACGTATGATATAAACTAAAATATTAAAATTTTACTAAAGGAGATGTCGAGGAATTTTTCGTAATCAGTATCGATCGAACAAGTATTTAATGCCAGCTGTTGAATCGAAACATAAAAAGGCAGAAGAGAAGATGTAAGTTTATTGCTCAAGTTATGAAATATTGATGATCAAATTTATATTATTGTAAGAAAAATATTTGAATATAATCTCAATTTATCATCAAGTTACAATATATTTTTTGTTTAAGAACCCCTCAGGCCTAAGCACTCATTGTCACCCATCTCCAGCAGATTATATTTATCAGAAGCCCTGACTGTCTGACTTGTAGAGGTCTGATCTATCGAAAAACCCTGACCGTCCATCTCGGACACATTTAAAGGGACGACAGGGTATCAGCTATCAACTGGGACCTTTACCACAGGATGAACTGAGGGATGGACCATCAAGTTGACTGTAGGATGGATCCAAGGATATCCTCCAAGTCTTTTTAAAAGTGAAAGATAATGCGTCTATAATGTGCTTGATAGATTTGTAGTATAATGTAAAATTAAAAAAGTTTTTTAACTGGAGTCTTATGTTTTAACTGGGGTTGTTATAAGGCCTTTCTATGTTGTATTTTTATACCCACCATAAAGCCATCGATACCCAAGTTCTTCAAAGCAAACGAATAATATTTAAGTAGTTTGGAGCTTTTACCGAGGAACATATATGAGACGCCTAGTTGAAAATGTACCCTTACATCGATTTTCAATACGGTAATGGAATTTCGACGTAGCGTATTGGAATTTACAGTAGTATTATAGGTAGCAGAGTGTCGTGAATTAAGATAATATGATAAAGCATGAGATCCTCAAGAATTTAATGTTTGATTAGATCATTATCTATTAAATTATGATCGATATTAATCAATGTCTAATATCTCTATCAATAGGCCATCATCTTTTTGGTATGGAAACGATATTTATCTTGTGTATCGATTGTACGTAATTATGGTTTATTAGTTGGTGTTCCATGTAACAGTTATCAAAGGTATATCAATATATTTTTATATTTTTTTAGTATTGATGTAGTGAATAAAAATTGATTGTGGATAAGTAATATTTTTTTAACTGAAAAAATCGAAGTTTCGAATTATTTTTTCGGCTACATAGAATAATGAAAAAAAAATATTCATTGAAAAAATAAATTTTTATTGTGCTCGATTATTTTGAATAGAATTATCTAAGTATCGGTTTATTCTAGTGATTTATTTAATTGGTCCGACTTGATTCATGTTAACTTATTGATATTTATGCCGTTTTAATAAAAGAAATTTTTTTATCTAAAATGATCGTTATTATATAACAAAGTATAAAATTATTGTAAGAATAAATTATCTATCGCATTTTAATGAACATAATACATTTAGAAATTGAAATACTTGGCTTTTATTGATTTAGAAGAAGAATTTTTAATATTATTTTAAATAACATAGTTTTATGAAAATATTAATTAATGAGTAATGATTATCATTCTCGTCATTTATATTTGGTGCACAATTTTATTAATGGATCATTTCTTTTAAGATTCATGGAAAGTAATTATTGATCTAATTTGCAATATAATTATTTTACCATAATAAAATGATTTTCTTAAAGTAATTTTCGGAATTTTTAATACTTTTCTATTTCAACGAAATCCTAGGAAAACTCAAAAAAATAACTTTTAGTAATAATCATTAACCTCAATCCCTGAATTTAATTGCCATTCATTTTTAACTTTTGTTTTAAATATATTTAATAATTATTTAGAAAAATTAAAATACACACAGACATTGCAGACACTTTTATTCAAATTCATTACAATCTTGAACCAAATATCAAAATACATTTTTCAAGCTAAATTTCATTAAATTCAATAAAATATTTTAATACAAAAAATCTCAATTCTTTTCATTAATTAAATAAACTCTTCTTTGTATACCAAAATTTTTTTTGGATGCCCATTTATTTTATCAAATCTGTATTGTTTCATTTTAACGATTGCAATAATTTGAAAGGAATTATATGAGTAATTTGATTCAATTTCTAGCATGAACCGAGATTATAGTTGAGAAATACCATTCAAATGCTCATAAATCCTGGCAAATTGATATCCATTTTACATTCAACGGTTTAGTTTTCAATACATAAAACGAATTTTATTTTACCCAAAAAATGATTTTCAAGGATTTTATTTATAATGGATACAAAGAGTACAAATTCTTTTATCCAATAAATTCAAAAAAAAAAAAAAACATACTGACCTTTGATAAAATCAACTGCCATTTCCAGACCATAAGTGTCTTTATCACAATCATCGAGTATGTGTGCACCAATTTTCACGCCAGGAACAATTTTATTATTATTGAGCCAGTCCAAAGTATATAACATAGCTTCAAGAGCTTGTATACCTCCTTGGGGCATTACTGGACCACATGTTATAGAATCCTCTCTTTCATGTACCATCATAAGACCACCAAGAACTAAATCACCTTCTACGACAGCTTCTTTTTTTATTGGCCAGTTAAATGGTACTGGTAATCGAGAATTGATTTCTTTGGAACGAATTAATCTATCACCATGACGAATTGCATGATGAGTTTGAGGATTCTCTAGATGATAATGATGAAGTAGATTAGTACTTTCAAAAATTTGCTCAACTGATGGAATTATTTTTGTCTTATTGAAATCTATATCATTCAAAAAATCGTATTGTCTTTTTATTTTTGTCCTCCAATTGAATGCTCCTTTATGGCCATTGCTCCATCTAAAGCAAATGCAGCCCAACAACAGCATAAAGACCAAATGATTCATGACGTCATAATTGAAAATTGACCATTAATTAACTGACATTCAGTAATTTCCAATTTAAAAAATTCCTATTCAATCTCGATGACTAACACATCAGTGTGATTAATTTTTCACTAACACTACGAGTTTATTTGTGATAATACATTGTTTTTAGTTCTCAGCTTATTCAGTTTTGACATTTTTAAAAGCAAAAATAGTTCACTCATAACTGCATTTTTCATTATTACTCTTCTTGATAATCTTCAAACTTTGATGCATTAATATTCTTGTAATTTCACATAATAAATATTTTTCTACAGATTTTTAAACAATCTCTTAGTCAACTGTTTAATTAAAATTTTTATCTACTAAAAATGTATTATTTAAAATAATAATAATAATTGTGAAAAATATTTCACTATTTTTTTGTTAATTTTACATTTTTTTCAACGATGAGTTTTTTTTTGTTTCATTCAGAGTGAATTCTGAAGAGCATTTCATTGCTTTGGAAAATCTTGAGAATTTTACAATGGTATGAGAGTATGTGCATTGGTGAAAATAGCTTACATTTTAATAATCTAATTGATATGTTGGTGATATTAAGGCGGTATGAATTGTAGTCAACAGGCCATCTACTTTTTTCTAAATTTTAAATATCGTCCAAAAGCTTATCTAAATATCACTATAATTAATTACAATAATTAAATGAATGTTACATTAGTTAATAATATACTGAATTCAATTACAAAAGAAACTCATTTTTTTTAATAGTGATTTGATTAGTTTCTATAGGTATAATTACTATCTCATCGTCATATTATACATTGTATCATTATGAATATCATAATTAATCATTAATACCTTGTAATAATGGTCGATGACATACATTCTTCTAAATTAATAAATTCTTCGGACTTTGAGATTTTTTTTGGTGTAAAGTAAAGTAAAATTGTTCTCTTTAAAAAAAAGTGCAACATTTTTTTATTATTAGATACTTAAATAACTGCAAAATATTAAAGAAATTTTAGTCAATTAATTAATGAAAATATTGGAACTATTGTTTAGTTTCCTTTTGTGTTAATAAAGAAACTACGATATTTGATTAATTTTTGATTATAAAAGTCGTTGAAGCATTTTTAAATTTGCCAAAAATTAATCTGGATGCTTATTTTAAATATAATGAGAGACTCACGGTTCTGAGGATATTTTTATATTTTGTCTATTCTACCTCAATGCATTTGAAGATAGGGATTAAAATGATAGCTACTGGGCTATAAATAATCATTTAGAATTTTTTATTAATCTATTTAGAATTATAATTTTAAAATTAATATTTTTTTTATCTATCACGGGCAATTAAAAAAGTTGTGAGCAAGTGATAATAATGAATTATGATTATTTTTTTTTTCAGCTCCACAACCTCGAACTCGTTGACAAAATATTTAATACCAGATATTTTTTTTCCTGAATTTAACCACGAAAATAAATTCTTTTCACCAATTTCTGAATAGAATTTGAAGCAAAAAAAAATTTTTATCGGATCAATGATTTTTTTCGTGTTATTCACTTCACTTTGTATTGAGTAATCGAAATAAAAATCTTTTCAACACCGAAATATGAAAAACTTTCCATAATTCGCGGTCTACTTGATATATTATTCTGCATAAAAGCTAAAACTCATCTGACTAAAGCATTATAGAGACCCAAAAATAAAAATACTGACAGATAGCTTCAAGCTAATTTCAGTCTTACATTTTTCTTAGTTTTTGTCAAAATAAAATTTTAATTCATGATTAGCTATTACTTGCGGTATCCCTCGGTAATTAGTTCTTGTGGTTACATTTCAAATTAACAAAGAGAGAGAGAATATAATCAAAGGGCTTGAAATGTAGATATCTCCAACAGAATCAAATGAATTTCTACCTGTTAACTTTAGATTAAAGTTACGATTAATGAATGTACATAAACCATTAATATTCACTGATTAAAAAAAATATAAATCTGAGATAAAAATAGAAGAATGTTTCTCTCCTTTATCATAACTACACTTAGCAATATTATCAAACCTCAGTAATTTATGAGAATAAGATAAATAGTTCTCCATGACTTATATCACTGCATTCTCAGTCCTTTCACGTGAACTTATAACACACTGTTAAATTTATATACGATGAGATCTATTTCATAGACTTGATGTATTACATCGAATTACAATCAACTCAGAATGAAATACTGATTGATAAATCGAACAATTGATGAAGTAGCTATTCTTATCATTTTGTCAATCAATCAACAATAATTTCTATGGCTTTACTTGTCTTTATTTAATTATAAATAATGCACTTTTATTTTTATTATCTCATTTACCATGAAATAATGAAGTTTAATAATTGTTTCCATCAGCAACAAATGCTCTTTGAATTTAAATTTCTCCAAGTTGTTTGTCAAATTAAAATTCTCTTTAGATCAAAGAAATGTGGAGAGAAATTGATGGCAAGAAAATGGTTGATAGAAAGGTAAATTCATTTGTTTGAAATATTAAATATGATCATTATGAAATGCTAAGTTTAACTCGTAAGAATGGAACATTTACGGAGTAAAAGGGTGTTCATGAAAGCACGCGCGCGGCTCTGTGCCAGAGCAGCCACTGAATCGCTGCTGTTGAATACTTTACCACTACCCTTCTGGAACGATTCATCCCCCTCTTATGTTGGTCTTCCTCATAGACCTATATATATAGATATAAATATATACCTAGATGTATATATATATATATATGTCTGTAGGTCTAGATATATATACACATTTTTACCGCGCAACTCCTGTTTTCCGTACAGTGTAATAGAAGTTAACGACAAGAATGTCATTTGACCGACTAACTAAAACTTTCACCACGTGCTGTAAAAAGAAATTTCTTATTGTTTTTCTATTTTTTCTTTATTTTTATTTCATTTTTTATTATTGATGTTTTTTTTTAATAAATAGAAAATAAAGTAAATATTGGTTAATAAATGGTTTGATACTCGTTCGGATATAATGAGACTTTTTCTTTCATGTACGAGGAAATCATTGGTATTAAAATCATTAAAAAGTTTAATTATTTTTTTGCTATTTATAATTTTCTCATTTTTATGCTCTAGTAATTTTAATATCACATAGTTACTCTGGTAAAATTATAATTTCGTTCATGAATTATTGTGAGAAATGTACGTTACAATAGGAAGTTTATCGTTGTAGGAAAAAAATTAAATAATTACATTAACTAGCTCTGGAAAAAATTAATAATTAATTTTCAGAGGTGATGAGGAAGTGAGTATTTATGAACTTTTTATTAAATAAGTTATTGTAATGAGGTCGATTTTTATTATTAGTAATTGGTCATAACTTTACATTTCGAGACTTTTGAAAAGCTATTAGAAGATTTAAAAATGAATGTCTGTACGTACGTACGAATGTACGTACGTATGTTAGATTTTTTTTCGTTTTCAATATCTCAAGAACCATTAAAGATATCTAAAGCTAAAAAAATTGCATATTATTTATAATAATCTTAATTTGTTATAAACAATTGAACGTTAGTTTTTACAGAGTTTTGATTTTATTATTTAAAAAAAACATTACTTGTTTAATTAAACCCTCATTTGTATTTTTATCATTCAACATTTTGAAGCAATAAAGATTTAAAAATGGTCAAGTCTCAATCTCGCTTATAATCAAAGGTGATTGTACCCACGGGTGTCATGAAGGATCGTAAGTAAATGACTAAGATAATAAGGTTTTGCAGCATTAATAGAAGCCATTAGTCAATCCGTCACTCTCGGCAACATTAGAACGATCGCCATTTTTTAATTTTATCTTTCATCTCAAACAAATGTAATCTCGACACAACAATCAAATACAACTCACGTGGAGTTGAAATGTAAATTCAAACCCTTAAAGTGATTAATTCATAAATTAATACGTGATAAAAAAGAAATATTTGCACAATACTATTGACAAAAGATGCAGGTATTTATCTGTAAATTTAATTTAAAATTATAATGGTATTTAAATTGAATATAAATATTTAAGTGTTAAGAATTCAAATAGTGAATAAATACAAGGTTGGGGATAAAAAAATATTGTGCAAATAATTGGCATGGACATTTTACTAATCGCGTGTACAATATCAGGGAAAAAGGTGGGTCATCGAACGAGCCTATTGAAGTGGCTACCAGATACAATGTAACATATGTGGGTATTCTCGTAATCCAATATGAATCCATTCCAATGACACAAGTCATCAAACAAAATATTATTCTCATATATTAGACCTTTCGCATGTACATCATTTTTTATAATCACACAACAACATAATTCTTTATCATGTTTACGAACAGAAAGAAAACAAATATTTAAATTTAAAAATCATCTTCAATCTTTCATCAACTTTTTAGACATCTGTAAGATATTAAATATATCGTTGAGCATTGAAATAACAATTGTGTACAACATAACGATAAATAACTGAAGTTATCTCGAGGATAGAATGAAGATCTCTAGTCACGTATTTACTCTAGCTTACTGTTCTGGATTCGATGGATTTATTTTCTCGAGGCTACAACACTTACTAAGCGCTGCAGAAAATATTGCGAGCTTGTTTGTGAAGTAAGCGAGGTTGATGTAAAAACTTGAGCCATACTAATTTGTTTTGACTGATTGCAGAGGAAAGAATTATCGCTCGCTATACAAGTCATCAATTTTTATGTACAAATTTGTACTGAAATCGTGATAAATTTTATTAAGTATTGTTATTCTCTTTTCTTTTTTCGATAATGAGAAAATAATGATAGAAAGACGAGAATGATAATGTTCAATATAAGTCAACTGAAGTTTAAGGAACACTATCATTTCTTATAAATCAATAACTCTGCAATTTAACAAAAAAAAAAAAAAATGGGTCTGAGTGTACTTTGTGACCACACGAAAAACTTCCCATTCCCATTGACTGTATTTGATCATATATCTTTTATTGTTGCGATGTTATAAATATCTTATTTATATTTTTATATATTTATTGAAACTCGTAATATTTCCATAAAGAGAAAAAAAATACTTTTTCTTAAAATTTAATTTGAATTTTATTTTAATACAAAAAAATATTGAAATATATTCAAAGAAAATTATTCAGCTAAATATTGCATAATTAAAT